TAAGCTGTTTGATTTTCCTTATTCACTTCTGATGAGTTTTGCGCGCTGTCGACTTTTTTCCATCTTTAATTATGAAGCAATACTTCAGTGTTTTAGGATTATTCATGTCGCCAAACAGTTATTTGCTGTATTTTAATAATGTTTTTGTTTCTTCCTTACTCAAATATTAATTAGCTACCCCATTGTGTATAGTTTTTGGCTTGAGTTCAATTTTAACAAGAGTTCTTAAAATTTTATTAATGACGTCGATTGCAAGACACTCCTAATGAAAAGTATCTACTCATCTGAGATTTAATTTCATTCTAAAACAATCTGTGTTTCAATCTATGTCTCATCCTTCATCATTAAAACCCTCCCTAACTGTAAATGCGTTTATCTAATTAATCCTTTGCTTTTCGGAACTAAGTACTAAACCCCGTTTATCTCCTGACTTTTTCCACATTGTGACTAAAATCATTTACACTTGCTATCCACATAAGCTGTACATTAGTCTTAAGAGGGCGATGGAGCTGTTATTTTAAATGTCAAAATTTAACAAAGCCCAATTCCAATTTTAACTAGACTCCGACTTAGACTATATTTTTATGATTTGATTTTAGTAACTTGATTTTTTTTTAAATAACGAAAAATAAATAAATAATATTATGTTAATTTAAGCATGCAGAAACGCTGTTGTTGCTCCAGCAAGGATTACCTTTAACGAGGGCTTAGTAGCAGAGAGTGACTAAGGCATGGGCATACGGGGCAGTTGCCTCGGGCCCCACATCGAATTGAAAGTTTATTTTAGGTTTCTTTCTTTAATGAGCTTTTTTTTAAACAAAATATCAGTACAGTGTAAAATCTGTCAGTTTTATGTTAGCTTCTTCATTAATCTATCGTATGAACACAAAAAATCTATTTTTCGTAAAACCATGGGTTTCTAGTGCGGAATTTAGGTAAATTTCGCAATTACGATGGACAAATTTGGCCAATCAAAAGACTGTATTTTTGTGTATCACAAAGTGCGATATGTTTACCAAAATGCAGGCTTCTGATTGGCTTAATTGAGCCATCGTCATTGCCAAAATTTAGTTGAATTCCGCCCTAATGTCAGCAAGGATATGAATTTTTCGAAGCTAGATGACAAAGTTAACAATCAGAAAACTGCATTCGGCATGATGAACTCAGAAAATCAATAAAATGAACAGAACGATATTTCGTCTGACCATTGGAAGGGGGGACTTAATAGCTTTTTAAAAATTTTAGTCAATTTTCTTGCTATATATGTATAATGAGGTGAGAATTTAAATACCTCCATAAAGATTCTTCATTAAGATTCTCCATAATCCTCCATAAAGATTCTTCATTATTGAAGTAGTGAAGCAGAAGGGGGCCCTCAAAGAAGTTTTTGCCCCTGACCCCAATTAGACTAAGTCGGACCCTGCTTAGTAAGCAATGTGCAGATTATCTAGGAGGTAAGCTGTTCCCATTTCTTTCAGATATGGAGCCCTAAACAATCAAACTTCTTTAGCGAAACCCTAACATTTAAATAAAGTTTATTAACATGTATGAATATGCTACGAAAGGTAAACAATCAGTAGAAAAACTGATTTCTACACTTCAGCGATAACATATGCCCAAATATCTCCTGACGTGAAGATACGTCAGGGATTATTCATGAAAGGCATGAAACTATTCAAAATGAAATGATACATTAAATTTTAAAAATATTTTTTGACTGAAGTTGTAATGATAAATGATCAAAATGATTCATTTAAAATTTTATCAGAATCGAAAACTAAATAAGTGAACCAAATCTCTGTTATTGCAATAAAAGAATTGTGGCGCTTTTAATAGAATAATTTTTCATTTTGATGCAACAATGTTTTACGCCATTGAACAAAAAGAATTACGAAATAATGGTGGGGATAAGAGAGCTGAGAGCGAAACCCCCTCGTAAAGAATAAAATGAAAAAAAAAAACATATAATAACCCCAAATATTTATTAAGGCTTCTATTATTAAGTGAATTCAACGCTTTTAATTTTCCCTTGTGTGTTATTTAGAATTTCCTTGTTTATTTAGTTTTTTAAAACTTTTTTTTAACAAAGGAAGTGTAATATCTTTTACAGGGGTCTGTTTAGAAGAAATTTAGGTCCGTTAACGGACCCTTCACAAATTATCTTTTCATAAAAACAGACCCTTCACAAAATATTTCTATTTAAAAACGGACCCTTCACAAAATGATTTTTCTTTTAATCGGACCCTTCACAAATGTGTTTAACTTCATTATTGTTTTGCTAATCGAATAAGTCCTTCCCAGGGCCGAAAAAAAGAAAGATGGATGTAAACGAATTAAGTTTTGTCTTCGGCAGACGATTCTTCCATTATTCGTCCGAAATGAATATTCTGGTTTCAGCAGTATAGGCTAAATACCAAATATTTGTATGTTGCATCTATAGTTTAGAAGCTGCAATTGCTGTTTATTTTTGAAAATTTAATTTTTTTTTATTATAATTTTACAGTGCCGAGCATAATATTGCATCTATTTACAATTTAAAAACTCATGGAAAAAGTTTTTTGCAATAACCGGACCCTATTTGCACAAATTCATAAAAGCGGACCCTGGTTGAAAGAATGTGAGTAATTTTTTCATAATTTCACGAAAACCGGACCTTTCACAAAATGTCTGGACAGACCCCTGCTTTATTCTTTAATGGTAGCTATCTTCATTTCTTAATTTATTAACAATTTCTATACTCGTAAAGTAACTTTATTTACGTATTTCATATTTATAAATTATCTTTATTTTCGTACTATCTTTATTCATATGCTTATAAGCTATTTTGATTTATGTATACACTCCGAAAAAAAGTACCGGCAAAACTACCGAAATATGGAAAAATTACCGTGTTTCTGGCTCTACGAGAACACCAAAAATCAAGGTAATTTTTTCCGAAGTGGTTTGGAACTGATTTTGGTAAAGTTAACAATAAAAAATTGTTTTATAACATGCATTAAAATTTGGTAAACATGGAAAAAACTTGATACCTAACAGCATGGCATAAAAATTATTTATTTGGTTAAATTTACTTTTCAGTTTTGTATTTTTTTAATCAAATATGTTTTAATTGGAACTATAATTTTCAAATCCAGTATTTCTAGAAGTGACAATATGAACGGAAAACAATATCAAATTAATGGTTTAAGTACCGTATATTTTGATTTTATTAACCGGAATTATGTTTTTTTTTCCTTATTATCAAAAACGACTTTATGATTCACTACGGTTATTTTACTTGATTTTTTTTCTACTTGTTTGTCTTTATCATAAATTAAATTTATATATTTCATACTTATAAATTATCTATATTCTTTGCTTATAAAGCAATCACATTTATGTCTATTTTATAAAGAATAAAAGTTTTTCATAAAAGAAAAAATAATAATAATGAAATAGACATTCTGTATTTAAAGTCTCTGGTAAATATTATTAGACTCACTATAAAATTCTATGTAAAATTATAGTTATCAGGTGATACTATACGGCTTTATTGTTATTAATCGGATGAAACCGGTTTGCATTTGTTTACGCTCATGCATCAATTAGTTAACATTGCAATGCAATAATACGTTAAAAATAAATACAAATAGGAAGTTTATAAAAAATCTTCTGAATAAAAACCCATTACATGTATGTTTAAACATAAAAGTATTGCCTATAAACTCGTGAAACATGTCATTATTAAAACACAACAATGCATGTAATAATTTGATATAATTATTATAATATACTAATATAATACCTGATATAATAAATATTCTTTATTTATATAATCTATCGTCTAATTTATCCTATCGTCAAATTCATATTACATATCGTCGAATTTAACCAATTAATATACGAACGTAAACAAGTGCAAACCGGTTTCAGTAGGGTAAAAACAATAAAGTTGTATAGTATCACCTGATTTTTGAAATTTTACATAGAATCTTATAGTGCGTCGAATAATTTGGCCTGAGACTGTACACACGTGTGATCGAAATTAGGGGTTCGAATTCGTATGCCTGAGAAAAAGTGTACTTGTACACTACACGAAGAATTTTTATTTACATCAGATACCATTAAAAAAAAATGTTTTATGCTCAAAAAGCTCATCAAGCTTTCATCTCGAAATATAGACCACACGATCACATAGAAACGAATATAAATTACGTTCTTTTTACAAAACAAAGTTTATAAAAGGGAAGAAAAAGCATAGAAAGAATACTGTAGCTCATTTTTAAATTCCAAAAAGAAATAAACTACAACGCACTTTGGCTAATTATTTTTTATTTTGTTTTAGTGGTTATTTACTTTGCAAAAAGTATATATTTTTCACTTATGATAATTTAAATTATTTCTTTATAATATTTATTATTCTTTTAGTAATCTTTTATTGATATAATTTTAGATACTTATTTATAACATGCATAATTGAACATTTTCATTATAATTTTGCATATTACGAACATTGCAGAATTATTCAGCTTTCTTATTTAAAAATTCTACCATATGATAACAAATAAAAAATCGTGCCATACTCCAAAGAAAGATTATTATTATGTAAAAAAAGAAACTTCATTTCATTTAAAAATTCTAAGATAAATAAACTGATACAAAACTTGGCAAAAAATCAAAAAAAAAATATTTTCTTTAAACGAACGGATTTTATTTATTTAAACAAATACTACTCATTTTTGATTAAGAATATTTTTTTTTAAATTTATGACATTTTGAAGTATTTATTTTCTGCATTTATGATTTGTTTAAAATCTTTTATTTATAATGCTGTATTCATAAATGCATAATTTCCTAAAATATGCGAAATTATTTATTTCATAGTAAGTGCTTCTGATAAAGAACAATTACAGCCTTCGACTAACTGTAAAAATGAGCCATTTTGTACCCCCCAAGCGGGTACAAAGGACACTTAAAAAAGTGACATGTGGCAATAAAAAAACAAAACAAAAATGACTCACCAAAGTGTGGAATAAAAGATGCGACATAATCCTCGGGATGAACATCTCTCTGATGCAGATGGCAAAAATAAAATCCTGCCTCTTAGAGTCCAGTTCGGCAGCGCCCTCTGGGATCATCTCTGACCGCGAATCATCCATGCCTTTCCCTTCTCATCACATCGGAAATGAGTACACAAAAAAGAAGAAAACATTCAAATGGTTTCTTTTGGCAAAAAAAAATACATCAGTACAAATTTATTTAAAATAGCATAGCGAATAAAATGTTTATTCGTGTAAAATACTAAAAAATGATAAAATAAAATGGAAAATTTTAAAACCTTCAGTTTTTAAGTAAATTCAGAATAAAATATATATATATATTTTTTTTAACATTTTTATTTATTTTTTTATATATTTTTTTTGTATTTATTTATTTAAAATTGTTCCATTTATTTATTTCCATTTGTTTTGTTACGCATTTAATTGTTTTTGTCGGATCTAAAATAAAAAAAGTGTTTATTAATGTTATGTGTAATATTAGTAGTGAGGTTGCGGGTTCAAATCCCGCTCATGGCACGGATGTTTCTCTCTACGTGTTTGCTCTCTGTTGTGTGATGTGTGAATGTGGTTCACCCTATAAACGGGTATTTGTGGCAGTGTGGCGTGGGTAATGTTTCGCAGATTTCGTGACTTAGGTTCACAAGTACCCATTGGGTAACGTTAAATGAGCAAAACTTCCAGCATCTTTCAAGGTGAAGAACGAAAGTTTAGTGCCTGCCGTTTTAAAAAAAGAAAATAAATATTAGTATATAATAGTAAAAGAAAATAAATATTAGAAAATTTCAAAAGCTTTGTTTGTAAATTATCAACAAAATTTTTTTTTTTAAATTTATTTATTTATTTATAATTAAAGTAGCTTTTGTACTTTTTAAAAGAAAGCTCAAAACGATAAGGGGTTATGCACAAATTTCAAGTTGCACTTTAACATGATTTATTAAAAATAAGACCGACCGGCGCTGTGGGGATCTCCCCCCGATAAGCGTATGTTTTCTTTTTCTATATCCTCAAAGTATAGTTTCCAGACGATTATTGTAAGGTAATAATATTTGTTATTAAATTTTATCTCATGATTAAAAATAACATATGTGATAAACCACTGATCGTTTTGAGCTTTCTTTTGTAAAGTACAAAAATTACTTAGAAAATTGCTTCAAACTTTTTAAATTATTAAGATATTAAAATCAATTTTTTTATTAGTTGTCAAATACGATTCACTACAAGATGATGAAAAAACTTTTTTTAAAAATTTCAACGTATACGCAGTATATAATAACTAGCTTAAATGTTCATAAATTACGCAGTTTTTAACGAAATTTTTTTTTAAAGTTTTAAATGGACAATTTTGCACTTAATCTTAAATTGCTCCAAAAATTTTGTTTAATTCCATTGAATATCTATAAAGTTATAACGAAATAACGCAAGGCAAAAAAATTATCTTTTATAAAAATGTCCATATCTCCATAATTCTTTACTCTGGTTTTAGGAAACTTTATGCTGTTATTAAAAGTAACAACTAAAGTAATCGAAACAAGTTACAAATTTATTGCTTGATTTTCTTGCATAGGGTGTTCAAAAATACTTGTTTCCTCCCTTAATTTATAGTCGATCTTTCAAACCTCTGAAAGCTTTAAATTTTATTAAGTATGAAAAATTTCATGGGTATAAAAATCTCATAAGTATGATACTTAAGCATCTCTGAAGTTGAAAAATAATCCTTTAAATATTTCTTGAGAAATTAGAAAAAAAATTCAAAAATGAAAGTGTCTATTCCATTATTCTACGACAGTGTATTTTAATACCTTAAGAAATTTCTTAAATATATTCATATCCATAGATTCAATTGCAACTAGTTCAACAAATTCTCCTAACACCAAAACAAGTTATAATCGGTATTTTTCTGCTTTTAAATGAAACAAGAGAATAAAATAGGTTTGGAGAAAAGCATCCAACGGTTCGCAGAAAAAGGTGCTCATCATTTTCGAATGAAAGGAACAAAATAGACAGAAATATCGTCATTATACCTAATGAAGTACGTCAGTTATCAAAGAAACGCCAGATGTAAATAAACTCCATTGCCAAGCTTTCAATTTTAATTGACGCTAGAAAAATAAAAGTGTACACGTGTTTTATATATTTAGAATAAAACAGACGTAGCGACAGGTGACGAAATCCGGAGTTTCTCACTCAATTTATTAAAATGGAAACCAATATATATATAGTCCCTGGTCTAATTATTAGACGCACTGTAAGATTCTGTTTAAAATCTTAATTATCATGTTTACTGTTTTTACGCCACTGAAACCGGTTGGCACTTGTTTACGTTCGTGTTTCAATATTTTAAATTAGGCGATATATAATGTAAATTGGACGCTATATTATATAAATATGGAATATTTATTACATCATGTATTATATTAGTATATCATAATAATTTGACCAAATTAATCGACGCACTGTAGTGTTTTAACAATTACATATTTTGCTCGAGTTTATAGGCAATACTTTTATATTTAAACACATAGGTAATGGGTTTTTATTCAGGAGATTTTTTATATACTTCCTATTTGCATTAATTGAATATTTTTAACGCATTGCATTACAATGTTAACTAATTGATGCACGAACATAAACAAGTACAAACCGGTTTCAGTCGCGTAAAATCAATACAGCTGTATAGTATCACCTGATAATTAATATTTTACATAGAATCTTATAGTGCGTCTAATATAATATATATATA